CAGGTTCAACAGCTTTGAATTCTGGTAAGTTCAAAACCATCAATCAAAACACATATACACAAGTTGAAAACACCTTACAGGATATGGGAAGATTGATAAAAAGAACCAAACTCAATAGAAGAAATGTCACACCCTTAGGATATGTTGAGCCTGAACAAAAGTTAACTGGTTCTGACGACGATGATCTAGACTCAGAAGATGAAGAAGAAAGAAAGCAGCAATCCAACATGGACAGATCATTACAAGAAAAAGAGTTCATCTTTGACGATGATGATTTCTATAGAGTGTTGTTGAACGATATGGTGGACAAGAAGATCTCTGATAAGCAAGCTACTTCGGCATCAGCCATCATCACTTTAACGACAAATAAGATTCATAAAAACTACGATAGAAAAGCAACAAAGGGACGTAAGTTGAAGTATACGGTTCAAGAACAGCTCCAAAATTTCGAAGCACCTAAGCAAAAATATTACCTCTGGAACGATGATCAAATTGATGAACTCTTCGCTTCCTTGCTAGGGCAAAAGGTCAACATGAACGAAGAAAGTGGATCTGAATCAGACGAGGACACTGAAGATAAAGAAGCTGTCGTCAAATCTGGTTTGAAGTTGTTCGGTTAAGTACCGTAGCCTTTGTCTTGTGAAACTTGTATCTTTATATAGCATTTAATCGCTTTAATTGACGAAATTTACATTGTATTCTTCCTTTTTGTTGTAGCTATACCTTTGAATCCAATAAACACCTCCTTGGTTGAGCAATACCAACGTCTAAAAGACAGAAAAGTAGTAGAAACATGATATGGTTTCCGATAATGGCGATTTGCACGACCTTTCACCTCTACGCTGTGCGCGAGACCTACTCTCCAGAAATGACATGCATGGATAAGAGCATGTAACGGTTTGAAGTTTAGTACCGGCCGTCAATTGAACATATTAGTACACAAAGACACAGGAAAACTACCAATTGATATGGCAGATGGTTCAGAGAGCCCTCCAATAGCTAGTGGTCCAACAGCGGTGCCCACATCTGAGCAGGTACATCAGCAAAGCATAAACACGCAGGCAAAGAAAGCCAATAAGAAAAGTAAGAAAAAACGCAAGACGAAAAGTAAAGGAGAGCCACAGGCAGCGAATTCATTGAATCCCGAGCTTGAAGCAGGGTCTACTACGGGGCAAACCAATGAACCACAAGCGAGAGAAGCCCTTGATGGGTCAGAAATAGAATCTTCAACTAGAGAGAACACAGCCGAGCCAGAGGTTGATGAAGAAAGCGAAATATCTCCTCCGTCACCTGATGCAAAGGAGGTCTCAAAACTCAATGCTGTTTTAGAACAAACTGATAAGGCTGGAGATGATGTTCCTCTTAATTCCGAACTGCACGCTTATAGGGAAGCATCACAAGAACTGGAGAGCATACAAAACGAAAACAACCTAGAGGGTCCAACATCAGACCCCATTGAAGAAGAACAACCAGTTCCAGGAGACGGCGAGCAAGTTTCAACACTGGTATCTCCGAATGTGCTATTACCAGATACTTCGGAAAGCAAGATCATAGAGGAAGCTAGCAATGACGAAAAGAATATCGGAGATGAGTCACCTGAAAGAGAAGCCAAGGAGCTACAAGAGACTGATGTTGAAACTGAGGTTTCAAAGTCTCATGATACAATCACACCTGACAAGAGCCGACCAACTGAGAGTATCGACAACTTGAAAAATGATAATTCTCAAGATAATAAAGAAGACCTGCATGACGAATCAATCACATCACCAATAGCCTCCAATGGCCCTTATTCCATGATTGACCTAGTGAGTGACATTCCTCTCAAAAATCCCGACATACCTTCGTTTGCAAGTGCGACGATCACAAGCATAGAAACATGGGATATGAACATGTATATTGGCACGAGTTGCGGTGAATTGATTCATATGTATAAAATTGATGATGAAATAGGCTACATCCAAGTTTCCAGACAACGGTTTAGCAGCTCAAAATCAAAGCCAGTGGAAAAGATTTTACTTCTTCCTGAACTTTCTAAGGCTCTGGTTTTGTGTGGCTCTACTCTTAGTGCATATATTCTACCCGAGTTATCGCCAGCCAATATTGGAAAAATTAGAGATGTCACAGATATATCAATTGATTACAACGAGCTCCAACTAGATGCAAATCAGCATAACTATGTGACTCCAATAGACCATATCAACGGCGAAGTGTACGTCAAGGTGACAGTGTTTACCAAGAAATCGGTTAGATTGATTCGAATATTCGACGAGGGAATGAAACTGTTCAAAGATGTCCATTATCCTCTCTCGATTCAAGGTATACAGAGATCTAAGTTTGCTGCGGTTGGTACCAAGATTGATTATGACTTGATTGATTTGGTTCAAGTTCAAAAGATTCCTTTGTTTCCAGTATCAACGACTGGCAAAAAACTGCAAGATACCGAAACTGATAATGATGACCAACTCGCTAAACAGAAACAACTACGACCAATAATATGCCCTGTTGGTAACTCTGAATTCATGATGGCTTGTGGTGGCAGCTCTATAGATGACCCAGCTTTGGGTATGGTAGTCAATCTAAATGGTGATGTTAGCAGAGGTACAATTCCATGGGAGTCATACCCTTCATGTTTGACAGTCGATTTCCCGTATTCTATTGCTGTTTTTCATGATTCAGCAATACAGATCCACTCTTTGATAGATCAAGCACAGGTTCAAGATATCAAATTTCCAGCAGGTTGGATTACTGGTGTCAAGTCAGTGAGTCATGTTTTCAAAATGAATAATAAAGAGTTATGCAGGGTACTAAAACAAGTGCCTTTCATATCTAAATCAACTCTTGAGGAAAGCTTGAAAGTTGTAGCTAGCGAAGATGAAGAAGCAACAAAGTTCATGTCTTCATCTTCATGTTTAGTGTTTGACAAGGCTGGTTCAAGTATCAAGTTATTGGTTCCGCAAGCTAAACCACTAAGGTTGATACAGCTATACGAGAGTACTACCAGAAACACCTGCAATAGCATATTTGATGAGTTGGCTGATGACTTGAAAGATGATAATATTGCCCTAACTCACACAAATGAAAGTGATGAAGCAAAAGATGAAAAAAACTTTTTGCTATGTATACTAGGGTTGTTGGGATTGAAATTTTATATGTTCAATCACTGCTTTGAGTTGTGGTGTGGCAATGTCAAGAAACTGGACCCAAGAATTCTACTGTACATATTCGGTTGCAACAAGGAGAAGATTGTCGGTTCGGTTTGGCAATATCAAGGATTGACAGAGAAAGTTGAGGAATTGAGAAAACAGTACGCTAGTGCTGATGATACTACTGCGATCAACGAGTTTTTGAAGTTATACTTGAACAGCTGTATTTCCAACGACTTGGTGAGCGATATCGATACGCTGAAAAGTGTCGAGATCTCGTTGATTGAAGCTTATGCTGATTCAGAAGACATCATGGAAATATTGACCCAGATAAAACATAGTTCGGACGATGCAATAGAGATCTTAATGACCAAAAAACGGTATTACTATTTGGCGAGATACTACGAGAAACTAGAGGACCATCATCAATTCCTATACTATTGGAGAGGATTACTCGAAGGTGATCTTTTAGATACAGAATACGATAAGCACTTCAAAGATCAAAAAAAATCACTTAACTATATCTCCAACTACTTGACTACAAATTGCCATCGTGATGTATCTACCATCTGGAAGTATGGCGAGTGGCTATTGGCGAATTATCCGCATTATGGATATATGCTCTTCACCAACAAGAATTTGGAAAAAATTGACATCAATGACACAAAGGTTTTACAATTGCTTGATGATCAGCCGGATATCAAATTGGATTATTTGGAGTACATGATTAAGAAGAAGAACGAAAAACAATTCACAGGTGATTTGATTCTTGCTTTGATGGACCAATTATTAACATTAACAACACCTGAAGTTCAAACTGAGCTGCTAGATTTGTTAAAGAGGTATCAAGAATTGCCGATTCCAAGGCTTCCACTTACTAAATATTATGGAATTGAAATGAATAGGTTTACTCAGAAAAAGGTTTTGAGTTTATCAGATAGATTGTACCATTATTTATCGTTGATCAACAAAGATACCCGGTCTATCTTGAATCAGAAGCCAATAGTAGATGAGTGCTTCAAAAGATTACATGACTTTGAGGAAGTATTTCCCATGTTGGCTGTGATGTTACATTTCAAGAAATCTGCTTTCGAAAAAGTTGTTCTCAAGTTCACTGAGTTGGGTGATTTCAGTTCTGCCGAATCCTTTGCGAATACTCTTAGATTAGTCGATACATATCCCCCAAATGCTCTCACTCCCCACAATAGTTCAGCAAAAGCCAATAAGCTACAAGAGATTGAGCCTCCACTTTCATCAGCTTCATCAGTCGGTGCCTCAAGTGTAGAAAAACAGCTATCTGAAAAACTATTGATGCTGATATTTGACGTCTACCTAGAGATGAAAAACCCCCTGTTGGTTGAACTGTTCTTGAATAATTACAATCTATTACGAGATGAAGGTATTAACAGCTCGAGTGCAACTGAAGTTAACATAACTGACAAGATGGATAAGTTCATTGAGTTGTTGGAACGGATACCTGACAACTTTCCAGTCGCACAAATTCATACTTTCTTGATTAGGAATCTGATAGAGTTTCAAGACTTCTCTAATGAAACGGTCATGACCAGAAACTTAAATCGTTCTAGGTGCTTATCTTTGAGTAGTACTATTAAAGATTTGGGAATGAAATGATTTAATAAAAAGCTTGCAAATACCGAAAAATCTAACAGTGACCTCTTTCTCAAAATTTTTGCTTCTGTATAATTTTTATAGAAACCGCATTATGTACTTACACCATACAATAAAAAATTCAACCGCATTTACTTATTACAACTTAAAGACTAAGAATAGTTTATATGGACAAGTTCAAAAGATGCATAGGATAGATATCAAAAAAAAAAAAAAATCTCAAAAATGTAGTCGGTGCGAGGTTCGAACTCGCGACCTTCCCCGTGTGAAGGGGACGTCGTAACCACTAGACCAAACGACTAAGCTTATTGTTTACACGTGCAGAAGTGATACTTGAAGCGTCACCAGAAAGACGTTTTTGAGCCTCAAAGCCATAGCTGAAGCTATCCGAAAACTTGATTAAAATCGTCTAACATCTAGTATAGATTGAAAATAAATTATGGGGCAATGTGATCAGCTCATCGTTACTATATAATAGTTTTTAATTGAGCGATTTGAGAATATATTGGCTCATCTATGGGTTATTCAATCAGAAATGATTTAGAAATATTTTCTCAAATTTGAAAGCCCTTACGCCTCTACGCCGCAGCGCCGCATTACCCATATGGTAGCTGGCTGAAGTTAAATTGATTTGAGTTCAAGATAAGGATTGCAACCAATTGTGCACCCATGCCAGCTATATAGTCTCATGACTTGTCATAAACCAATAGAGCATGTTTTACATTGTTTTGTAATTATATTGATTATAAAGTAATCATCCTGGGGATGAAATGGAATAGGAATCTGACTTCATTTAGTAAATGTTATAGAGGAATTGGAGGCATACTTTTCCAACAAATAGAGTGCTAGCCATCAAGTATTGAGTGCCAATAGTGCAGTGGAAGCAAGTATAGTTCATTTAGCCGGTAGAAACAATATGAATGTAAAGCATAATACCAAAGGTTTACAATTCTGTTGTAATTGGAATACATTACTTGCGAGCACTTAACTACAAACGATAACATTACATTCAAAAGATCTGTGGTGGTAGAACTATACAAATTAGATACACGTTTTTTTGTTCCTTGGTATGTTTTGGTCCCAAGGTGTTTTTAATTGCAGTTCAAAGAGGTTCGTGATTTTATGCTAGTTCACGCTAAGTGACCTTATTTGAGCTATCACAATAGAAGCATCCTATACTTTTACCCTCAACAAACTCTTCAAAGGATTCATTCTTTGCTGATAGGAATCCGTGAGTCTTATAGTTATGTGGACTACATACTTACTATCAGGGAGATTGTCCTATCAAATGGACGAGGGTTGATGCAACCCCATCGAGGATAAAAATTATTTTTATCATTATTAAATTACTTGTCAATGTAGATTATGAAACACTGCATATGTATTCTTTATTCTCGTCAGCCTAATTTTAGCTACATCAGATTATGAGACAATGATTACTGTGGATGAACAAAGCTATTAGTATGTAGTCAAGTGGAGAATCTGATAGTCAATGGAAGCTTCGATGAAATTCACCAACTCAAAGAACTTCACAATCTTCATCCCATGCGTTCCAGTAGAGTAGCTGAATCTATAGTCTCAGTTACAGTCTCTGCTCTCCAACTCGTGTGGAAATCTGGTACTTGTCTTTCTATAGTTTAGACCTGAAAATCGAATACATTATGGTACCAAATTATGGTACCAACTTCTATCCTCATCGACAAATATATCTACATACTTACTTACTTACCAAATGAAGTATAGGAGCAAATCAGTATGATATAGGAATAATATTTCTATTCATTACTTATGAAATCTTTGGTAGGCTGGAAATTGATCTTTACTTTCTGTTAAAAAGAATTGACATCCTAATCAAAACCATAGATTGGGCCAAACAAATACAATGTACTGGGCCAAGAGGATGAAGTTTCCAATCTCAGACTCTATACTAATTGAGGTGTATCTTCCATTGGGCTTCAAGAGACACAATTATGTAGATGATAAGTAACTGGTTAAGTGCTTTTTGTTGATCATGTATATACATGGTAGCCAGTTTTATCTAGCCTCTGCGTAATTTTATTGGGGAGCTTAGATATAGGGAAATGCGGCTATGAAAAAGGGGTTAGTATAGATTGTACTTGTTGTGAACAAAGTTTTAGTTAGATCGAGCTAGATATTGGTTTACCTTATATTCAGTGTTTTTGGATGAAATGAACACTTTGTAGGTATGATTTCTGAGAGTTTTGAGAAGTTGCTCGATAAAAGCTTATCTTAGTTGAAAAACTAGATTTTTACCCCTCGAGTAATCATTTTTATAAAAATTCTACAAACTATGCGAATTTCTATAAGATGAAGCATTTTTTAAGTTTTACTAATAATACATCTAACAGCAATTAGATTCAAAGAATTGATCATCCAGGAAATAGAGTGCCAATGCTCAAGGACGATAAATCTTCATCATTATCGTTCTCTTGAAAACATATTTGCCAGTTGTCTGTAATGGGGAGTTCACATTCACGTAGTTTTACTTAACGAATCACAATAAATGTATGGATATTAATTGTATAATGAGTGAAAGTGAGAAGGACACAATTCAATTGATCTCCTTGATATAAACTAAAAACATGTCAACAAATAACACCAAGTTGAACTGCACCACCAAAATACGTCATCAGTCACAGAACAATAGATGAGCCGCAATTGAATGACTCAGAGTCAAACCAAATCAAATCAAATTAAATCAAATCGGGCCTGCTTTTGATCATGTCACGGTAAGAAAGATCTTGAGATACTTCTTCAACCACCACCAAGTCCACTGTTACTAAGACAATGCCCTAACTCTCAATTGATGTACACCTATATAGTCTTCCTTGTATATACAACATACACTCCAACATCAACATACCAACCAGCAGCAAACAACCTCCGCTGGCCAAAACAGGCAATGCGACTCCCGCGCGAAATCACAATCCACGAAACAGCTCCCCGGTGGCTCCCCGGTAGCTCAAGCGTAGTTACTAATGAGCCCCGTAAATTCACACAACGGCCGCCCGTCGCCGCTCCTTTATCGGTGAAAATTTTTTTTTTCAATTTTTCAGAATGACCAATTTGCGTCTTTTGACTAATAATCAGTGAAACTTAGATCTCCAGTAGTTAATAAGCGATAACTACATTAATATATATATATATATATCTCTTGGTTAATTACTCTTTTTTTTCTTCCAATTTCTTACTTTATCATATTTTTTCAATAATTGATAATTCAGTTAATATAATAACTTGTTAACTACATATAAATAACATACATACATACATATCTACACACATACTATAGATATATCACTGAGAAATTAAAAATCTACATTCATATAACCGACAACATATACATATTACAAAATGGCTCAAACAAATCCATATGGTCCAAATCCAAGTGATTATTTATCAAATGTTTCAAAATTCGAACTCATAGATTCAACATTAAGAGAAGGTGAACAATTTGCTAATGCATTTTTCACTTTAGAAATGAAGATTAAAATAGCTAAAGCTTTAGATGATTTTGGTGTTGATTATATTGAATTAACTTCTCCTGTTGCATCAGATCAAGCTAGAGCTGAAGTGGAAGCAATTTGTAAACTTGGTTTAAAAAGATCTAAAATTTTAACTCATATAAGGTGTCATATGCATGATGCTAAGATTGCTGTTGAAACTGGTGTTGATGGTGTTAATGTTTTCATTGGTACTTCATCATTTTTAAGACAACATTCTCATGGTAAAGATATGTCATTCATTACTAAATCTGCAATTGAAGTTATTGAATTTGTTAAATCTAAAGGTTTAGAAATTAGATTCAGTACAGAAGATTCTTTCAGATCTGATATTGTTGATTTATTAAATATATATACAACTGTTGATAAAATTGGTGTTAATAGAATTGGTATTGCTGATACTGTTGGTGGTGCTCATCCAAGACAAGTTTATGAATTGATTAGAACTATTAAATCTGTTGTTTCTTGTGATATTGAAACTCATTTCCATAATGATACAGGTTGTGCCATTGCTAATGCTTATACTGCTTTAGAAGCTGGTGCTAAATATATTGATACTTGTGTCTTAGGTATTGGTGAAAGAAATGGTATTGTTCCATTAGGTGGTTTCATGGCTAGAATGATTGTTGCTGATCCAGATTATGTTAAATCCAAATATAAATTACATAAAATAAGAGAATTAGAAAATTTGGTTGCTGATATTGTTCAAGTTAATATTCCTTTCAATAACCCAATTACTGGTTTCTGTGCTTTCACTCATAAAGCTGGTATTCATGCTAAAGCTATTTTAGCTAATCCATCAACTTATGAAATTTTAGATCCTGCTGATTTCGGATTATCAAGATATATTCATTTTGCTAATAGATTAACAGGTTGGAATGCAATCAAATCAAGAGTTGAACAATTGAATTTAAAATTATCTGATGATCAAGTTAAAGAAATCACAACTAAAATCAAACAAATGGGTGATGTTAGACCATTAGGTATTGAAGATGTTGATTCTATAATCAAGAACTTCCATGCTGAAGTTCAAGAGGAAGAAGAAGAAAAAACAGATGCCACTGCTGCAACTGAAGAAGAACCAGCTACTAAAAAGCAAAAAGTTTCATCCGAATAGATACTTTTACTCAAGTGGAAACTGCAATTTTTTTTCTTCATTAAACAACAACAAAACGCACTTCATCTTTAACACGCTTTGTTTCCCCTTTGTATAATAGTATCACAAGATTCATGCCCAAAAATTTATCATCATCTTTCATCATCATCATCACAATTGATGAGATGAGTAGAGAAAAATCCTTATTTATATCATCTATTACGTTACCTTTCATTCTTTTTTTTTTACATCAATTCAAATGTTTTCACTTATTCATTATATCATGGGAAGATCATCTTATCGAAAATCTATCAGACTAGAATAGTTGATCCATTGGTTCTTTATTATTACGTTTTGCCTTGTTTCCGCATTTTACTTTAACAAGTACAACATGTCTTATTGTCTTACTCTATATTATTCATCTCTTTTGTTTGTTTGCATTTATTTGCCCTTTTATTATCTTGAAAAGTTTTACTAGATTCAACCAAAAAATCGTTCCTATATTTACCACACCCTGTAATTAAAATAAGTAATCCCTATTATAAACTAAGTATAACTGTTGTACTCAAACTAAAACCACTTACTGACGTAACTAGTTACCGTATATCATTCAATCAATCACTCACTGACCTATATACTCTACTCTGTTATCTTATCTCAGTCCAATATACCCATTTCCAT